GAAACAGTTTTTAGTGAGTTTTACCCCATTTTGCGACCTTTAAGTGAATTACTGCAGTTGTTAAGTTAGTATCATGTTTGTTAAGTGAATCTGGCTTCCCCGTTGACTTTGCTTGGCAGAAGTTTGCAAAAGGTGATCACATGATCCTGGGACACTGCAACCGTTATAAATATGAGTCAGTTGCCAAGTGTCTGAACTTTTATTGTGTGACCATGAGGATGATGCAAAGGTCGTAAGTATGAAAAACAGTCATAAATCACTTTTTTTCAGTGCCGTAGTAACTTTGAACAGTCACTAAACTGTTGTAAGTTGAGGACTACCTGTATTTGATCCATTATCTCTTGCAATTTGGGGAAGACTGACATGCAATGGCAGAATAATCTAAGAATCTATTTCATATCATTGATCTACTTCAGTATTGTCTCCAGTGATTGACAACAACTTGCTAGTATTGAATAGAGAAGATATTTCTCAACCTTAAGTGGATATGCCTGGATAAAACCAGGAATGTATTTGCAGATTTTTAGAAGTTTTTCAGTTTACCTCTACCCTTTCCTTTGTCTTCCAATAAAGCATTTCCATTTGTACATGAGTAAAAAATGCTCTTGGGTCAAGCTTGAGTCCTGATGACAGCATCCACTCAGAGTTGGTTTTTTTTTTTTAAACAATGCTAGGAAGTAGTTGTTTTAGCTTCCCAGTACTGGGCTAGTATTATGAACAAATGTACAAGCCATTGGGTTGCCGCAGTAGGTTTGTCTGCCCACATAAATGACAGATGCGACAGAAGAGTGAACATCATTCCAAAATGGTAAAAGGGGGAGAAAAATTCAAAAGACAAATGGGACAACTCACTGAGGTATCACCTTTTGCTGCTTTGTACACAAGCAACTGAACAATATTACTATAATTGTATAATTATTATAATATCCTTGGTTCAAACTGAATAATCAGTTTTTAAAATAAATATTAAAATAATGTCTCTTTTAAGGTGTTCTGTTTTGGGGGAATGGGGAGTACATTCAATCAGCAATATTTATGAATTTTATTTGCCTGTACTGACTTCTCTGCCAGCTTTAGTTTAAACACTACCTTCAACTACTGATGTCAACTTCTCTTACTTGAAATGAACTCCTAAAAGCAATAAATGAAAAAAGGAACTTTGTGAGTGAAAACCACAAGTTCAAGGTGACAAAATATGAAAACAGGGACAAGAGACTACCAAATGAACATAAAGGCTATATTCAGTTACAAATCATATAAAAAAGACAGAAACAGCCCTGTTGTTATTAGGCTCAATGGAGCTACATTGCTTTTCACTAGCATCACCAGGTCCATTTACTAGGGCTATGTATAAAATGTGCCTTAATGGACAAAAGCAAGCACAGCAATGGGAAGCTCTATGCATTCAAGCCTGTACATACAGGACAGATACTTCATTTAATTTAGATGAAAATAGAGGACGAAGGAAAACCCTTTTTGTTCTTGATATTACTCAACTGTTAGGAATTGGGGAATCTTTTCTGAGCTCTTGCAGATTAGCCAGGGAGTTGTCATACGAGAACTTAGTTTATTTTCTACCATCCTGCTTTTAGATTATGCTCCAATGCTTATCACATTGCAAGGTAATTCAAGACAGTTATATAGTTGGTTCAAGTCCCAAGAAACAATAGGCATGCTCTTTTGGAGGTAATTACTGCCAAAGCAGACCTATTTCTGTTATTACTTTAAAAAGACTATTATTTGACACTATTAAGAGGCAAGCTGAAAACTAGTTATTTTGCAGTCATGTATGTTCTTTCTCAACATTCAGTATCTAAGAAGTCTTGAAAGCTCTATAGTTAAGTTTTGTAAACTATTTACATTGGTATTTCAAGATTATGGAAACAGATTGAAAACTCAGTGGGATCATACAACACACTAAATAGCTTGCTTAATCATGGTTTACAGTATACATCACACTTATCTTGCTTTGCACAATGTGTTAAGCTATATATAGGCCCTGAAGCACCCCCGTTTTCAACCTCAAGGTCCCTGCAGCCCTTGGGCCTGCTTTCTCACCTCTCTGGGTCTCCTGTTCTCTCCTACCTCTGTCACCGGTCACCTTTTGTAGATCTCTGGAGTTCATATTGGGGAATAGTAGGCCACTCTGCTGCTTGGCATCCCTGCAGGTTGCATGGCATGGTCCTGGATGAGGGTACCATTTTTGGAGAAGCCACATTGCCAAACCATGCCATGTAGCCTGCAGGGATGCTGAAGCAGCCTAGTTGTCTTTCCCCTTTCCAGAGCTCTACAAAAGGTAAGTGGCCACCCACACCCTCCTCCCCATCCCTCGATTTCTCACTTAACTTCTGTAGATCTTCAGAGCTCGCATTAGAGGAGAGCAGGCTCCTTTGCCTATGGTTCTGTGAATTGGGGCTGGTCCAAAAATGGGGCCCAGTTCCTGGATGGAGCCATCCAACCTAAGAAAGCCGAGGAGTGGAGTGGCCTGCTCTCATTGCGAACTCTGGGGCTGTACAGTACAGAAAGTAAATGAACGATTAGTGATGGAGGGTGGGGAGGAGGATATGCAACTCTGTGGGTTGGGAAGCAGGCCCACGGGCTGCAGAGAGCTAGTAGGGTGGGAAAGAAGGCACAAGGCAAGATGGGATGGAGGGAAATAGGTGAGGGGGACACTGTTGCAGCTTCTCTGAGGTTGGTCAAAAGAGTGAATCCACCCAAATTTTTTGCAAGTGACCATAACTTCAAAACTTGGTTGTAAGTAGCTTTAGGGAAGTCTGTTGTAACTTTGAATAGTAGCTAAGTGACCAATTGTAAGTTGAGGACTATCTGTACAACAATCGAGATTGCTACAGGATTCAGAAGTATACAAGTTAAATCAGACATGTCAAACACAAGGCCCGGGGGCCGGATGCGGCCCGCAAAGTGGTTTCATGTGGCCCGCGAAGCCATCCTGGAAACAGTGAGGGAATGGCCCCCGCTGCCTTGGCCCTGGCCCAGGCCAGCTGGGAGCCAATGTACAATTTTGGTGGCCATCTATGCTGAAACGCATTCAGTCTTAGCTCTACAAGGCCGTCTAGAAACATCGAGGAACCAGCCCGTTGTGTCGGTCCCGCCCGAGTACATGCTGGGGAGGTGTTACCCTTTGTGAGGAATGAAGAAATGAACCATGCCTTGACGCTTGCCCTGGTTCCACCCCCTTCTGCCAGAGACCCTCAGATCTGTCCCACTCCTGCCCAGGCCCCCTTGATGTGAACAATGTAGAGCTGGCCATGCCCACCCAGTAGGCCACACTCACTCCATCCACGCCCCCCCAGTAGGCCGCACCCACCCTGGCCACACCTACCCGGCCCCTCGAGGGCAATCACAATGCTGATGCGGCCCTCAATGAAATTAAATGGATGAACAAACAAATAACTTGAGCATGTTTTTGCATTTCTTGTATAATAGTGTCACAATTTTGTTATTTTGGAAAAAAAGAAGAGCCCAGTGAAACATTGATATCCTAAGCAGTATAAATAGCTGGCAGATGCTTGATGAGCATAGGGCAAAGCAAAGCTTATTTATTTATTGCATTTCTTCTATGAGTATCCTTCATGTTTTATCTCTAAACATATTATGTATATAATACATGTTATGTATATAACCCAGGTATATAACTCAGTGTATTTCTTATTTTATATTTAACTAATTTTATACCACAAAAGGTATACATTTTTTAAATTGCCTCCAATATAATTTGCATTCACCATTCAAATCAGATGGATTGTTTTATAAATAATGAATACTGCACCCTCTACTGTCTGTTCCAGTGTTTTGACAAGACATTTAAAAATAAAGTCAGTTCCTACATTATCTTTTTCTAAAGTCATTTAAAACATTATTTGAAGATAGTACTTAGAAATATGTTTTTGTTGCTATATACTAATCTATTTAAAGGAAATTAACAAAATCTTGTTGATTTGTGTCTGATACAGACATTACACATACAGTTCAGACTGACCCCAGCTACTTTTAATTCAACAATACTTATTTCCACCTCAGAGTACTTAGGATTTCAGTTTCTTGGATATTTCCAGGGCTTTTTCTGTCATAGAACGCCCAGAACGGAGTTCCGGCACCTTTTTTGGATGGAACCTTGTAGGGTAGGCAAGACAGGTTGTATGACGTGTGTGAGTTCCGGCACCTTTTTTTTTTTTTTTTTTAAGAAAAAAAGCACTGGATATTTCCATGTTTTGTATCATATTTATATCTACCATTCTGTCAGCATAGCTTTTGCAGCTCTTGCTCCATTAAGTATTAGGGATCCCTTTTCATAGAAAATGACTCCTTACTAAGATATTATGAAATGTTTCCTAAATAGTACTGAGGCAATTCTGAATTTTGGTAAACATACTGTGATGAAAATAACAATGTATACATGCTAAAAAAATAAGGAACTCTCAATCCAAGTCAGCAAGACAAATTGAAATCAGGCAGGACTATGGAAGAATTTGTTATAAATCAGTAGGCTCAGGAACAGGTGGAGGGAAGAGCAGAGCAGACAGGCATTTTATAAGGGGTTCCCAAGTTTTCTACAGATCTTTGTATCAGAAGTTTCCAAAAGGTTTGCTAAAAAGCATATGAAGCCCCATACCAAAATTAAGTTATGGCTATCTGAATGAGTCCAACGGTCTGTGTCCTACTACACAATGAACCATAAACAATATAAATTAGGTATTACAGCATATTGCCATATCATGAGCGAGTTTGCTATACAGATAGTACTTACTTATAACTGTTCAATGATAATTTGAAGCTCTGACAGCCTTGCTAAAAGTGAACCTAAGACCCACCCTCAAAGTTGTGAATGCCACACCACCCTCATGGTCATGTGATCACAATTTGAGCACTTAGCGACCAGCTTGCATTTACGATGGTTGCAGTGTCTTGTGTTCATGTGATCATGATTTGTGACCTTCCCAGCTGGCTTCTGACAAGCAAAGTTAATTGATTAACTGACAAGCAAAGTTAATTGGTGAAGGCAGATTTGCTTAACACCCAATTTATTCATTTAACAGCAACTTAATGAGCGGTAAAATGATTTTAAAATTGGATTCGGTCATGCAATGACTTACTTTACAACCATATCAATTTATAATGTAAATTTTGGTCCCAATTGTGATTGTAAGTTGAGGACTATCCGTGGTGGTAAAGGTGCTACTCTAGAAACCAGCAGATTGAATTGTAAGCCTCTCTTACACATGGATAACTGTGAGCCAGGCACTCTCTCTCAGTCCCATCTACCTCACAAGGTGGTTATCAAGGGGAAAATAATAGACAAGAGTATTAGATATGTTCACCACTGAGACAGAAAGACAAATAAACGTAGGATAAAAACATCTTAATAATAATTCACAAAGTAATTATATTTAAGCAGACCACTTTGGTGAACTCAATCCAAATGGGCCTTATTTGACTTTGACTTAATAGTTGTACAAATCTAGCTTCTGTAATTTGGCATATTGAATAAATCTAGTTAATTTGGTTACTAACACAATCATGCTTAAGTGACCATGGGTGAATGTGATATGTTAATAGCCCCCAAAAGACCAGTGAACTTTGAGGCTAAGTGTGGACCTGAACCTGCATCTCTTTAGCCCAACACTATGTAACATTATCTAACAGAGGTTCTTCCCTTTAGTGAATTCCTCAGAAGAACAGAGCAAGGGAATCTTCTCCATATCACTTTCTCTCCAATAAAAACCAATGAACATGGTAATATGAAATCAAGAAAAGCCTTCATGAGCGTGGCAAACTCTAATTTTCCCTGCAGATTCTTTTAACTGTTTCTGCAAAATGCCTATTATGAAGTTATGTTAGGTTTTTACATTATTTACTTGGCAATATACCAGCAAAACAATTCATGTAATTTATGATTATCAGTATTCCTCCGAAAAAACCCACACTAAATGAAAATCTTGTAAGAAAGACATGTGTATTCTAGGACAGAATTCCTGATGGGGAAAGTGCACTCAATCAGTTAGCAGAAAAGACTGGAGAGGCTGTAAAGTCCGTTGACTCCGTTTTGATTCTTTCAACAGCTGCATTTTGTATCCTTTGGGATGTGGGACCTCACACAGCAGGTCATTCAGAGTCAGTTCATTTATCTGTCCTGAGGCTTTTAACTTGGTAACAATTTCTTCAAACTGAATAATGAGGTCTGGATCGAGTTCTAGTTTTTCCCTGGCAGCAATTATCTGTAAGATTACAGCAAACAAACCATGATCAATATAGAACTGTCTTTTCTATGCCAAATCATGATAAACCTTTACCAAATGTACAGAAAAAAGGTCCTAATTCAATTCCTCCTAGCAATTTGTTATGAAGGTACACACCTGTGAAAGTTACATTTATCTGCAGCTCTATGCATCAAGGCTTATCTTGTTCAGTTTCAAGCCACAAGCTAGAGAGGTTTTAAATTTGTGCATTGTCAGATGTTTCCCAAAATATTTGTTAATAGAGACTAATTAGATGAGAAAAATATTCCTAAAGGTAACCAAATTCAGCCAGCTCTTTCAATATGTTAAGAGGCTGTTTATATGAATGGTTATTTCAAGATAATTATTGCCAAATTGTTTCAGATTCTGATTTATTTATAAAAAACTCAAATGAGCAATGATTCTCACTATTTACAGTGTAATTTACCTTGGGCTAAAAAATCAGGAATAGGGGTGTGTTCTATTAAACAAATAATGCTTGCAGCTGATATAAAGCATATAAAGTATATGGTAGTACAAATAATCTAACAAATTTCAGCAAGATGTGGAAGAAACAACAGAGATATCCACAACAGCATGGGTACATTTATTCCGGTACAAAATGCTTTCCAATTTATTCCTTTGAGCTGCATTTTGAGTGACATTTCAGCTGCTATAGAAACAGCTCAAGAGATAAATTAACAATAGATTTCATAGTGCTTTCAGCATGCAGCAAAACAGGCTATAAAAGTGTTGGATATATATATATATATGCATAACCCCTCCTGCCTGAAAGGAAAAAAAAATCAGCTATACTTCTATCTATAACAGCAGTTCTCAACCTATGGGTCGCAACCCCATTTGGGGTCGATTGACCATTTCACGGGGGTCGCCAAGCAAGGCTGTCCGCCATTTTTTCCCCTTTTCCGGCGGGTGCCTTACCTCCCTTGAGCTGGGCCAGCTGGTGGTCGGCCTGCTCCGTCTCTGCCGCTTGCCAGCTATGCCTCGGCCGGCGCAGGGGGCGGAACCCTGCATGCGCGGTGCTCCCGGTCAGGGAAAGTCCTCGACTTACGACCGGTTGGGTAGTCCTCGACTTACTACTGGTTTAGTCCTGGACTTACGACTGGTTTAGTCCTCAACTTACGACCAGTTTAGTCCTCAACTTACGACCGGTTGGGGGTCGCGGCATTAAAAAGGTTGAGAACCACTGATCTATAAAAGCTTGCTTCTATCCAATAATTTTCACTTACCACATCCTTACAGAAGTTAGGTTTTCTCACAAAATATGTATCGAATTTCGAAGCTTTTTCCAGTGTTTGCACAAGAATATTTAGATTTCCAAAGGCAGCCAAAAGAAGAATCTTCAATACAAACACCACAAAAGAATAATGCTTTAACAAATTATGGATTGTGTCAGAAGAAAAACCTTCCAAATAGGCAGATCAAAAGTCTTTGTACCAGTAGCCCTGATGATCATCAACAGAATGTACTGTTTGTAAAGTGCTGTGGAATTTGGTACCCTTATGAATATGATACACCTATTGCTGATCATTGATGGTGGCAAATTCCAGCTATATATTTTTCAATATAAAACGTAAGTTATAAAAGTTACAATAAAACTTGTGATACAGAACCTGTCTGTCTCTTTAATTATTTTACTCACAATAACAAACACAACTAAGGGAGGGAACATGCTGGGATTGAAACTTCAGAGCAACCTTCTTCATTGCAGCCCAATATAGTGGAGAATGTTATGCTAAAAAGGGCTGCTTAGGAACATTCTTGCTATTACTATGGAAATAATCATTGCCCTCCAACTCCAAATTATTACAACAAACCAATAAAATTGGTCTGAATAGGAGGCAGGAATGGGGAAGAATATCTCATGAAGAAATTGTTTTGTTCCTAAATAAGCATTAGATCACTGATTGTTCTCTATCTGCTGTCCCTTCCTCCATCTGCCCCTCTTTCTACCACTCCCATATAGATGTCTGTATCTTCAATTTTAAACAAAGATATTTTGACATAGTAGTTATGGCATCGAAACTACTAGAAACTGGGAGACTGAGTGATAGCCCCACCTTGGGCTAGTCACTTTCTCTCAGCCCTAGGAAGGAAGCAATGGCAAACTACTTCTGAGTAATCTTGCCAAGAAAACTACAGGGACTTGTCCAGTCCGTCTCTGAGAATCAGACATGATTAAACAGAAAAAAATGGAATACTAATTGCTCCCGTTTTCAATGCCATATCCTCTCTGAGATTATCTCTGCTTGCCCACTTTTCACTGTTCTTTCAACATTTTGTAAGTTATTTACTCCTACATTTGCTGCCATGGAAATTTTTATTAACAAAAGATTTTAAAAAGATTCCTTAGAACCATTTCACAGAAAAGGTTTTGCCAGCATATTTGAATAATTTAACCATTGGTTATTTAAATATATCATTGACAAACAGTAAATGAGTCACTACTTATATTTTTCCAGTGTTGATCTGCCACAAAGCAAATCGAAACACTTGAAAATTAAAGGACATAAAGAAAACAATAAAAGGCAGAGATGTTTTTAATTAGCGCTGGAATAGAGCAGATTAAATTGCAATATGCTGTTTAAGGCAAGGGACATCCTTTGTCTTAAAAATATCATCAGAACGTAGAACACACAGATTAAGTGTATTTACCTTTAGATTATCATATATTATACTTTCTGTAGGCTGCAACTGTGAAAAATAGTACTGGGCCTTCAAAAAATCATTCTGTAGAAGGAAACAAAAATAATAGTCATTCTTTAAAAATATTGCCTAACATTTTATTTAAATCCTAACAATTGGCTCTCATAACCTCTCAGTAATAAATAGACCTATCATATACACATTATTCTAAATCAGAAGTAGTAGTATTTATTTATTCAGTCAATGACCAGCACATTTAAAAGAATAACAATATAAAGCAAATTAATACAGCACATAAGACAAATCACATGATATAACATTCATACCTCTATAACTGTATTAATATATTAACTGACCAAGTAATGATAAATTTAAAAAATTTAAAAACTGTAATGTAAATATCCTGAAGCAACTCATTAAAAATAACTACCTAAAAGTAATATTAGGGATAAATGTGAAAACCTCTTAAACCAATAATTTCTTTAATTGCTGTTGTCTTACTTTCATTGCAGCAACATAAAATTTCACTACTGGACAGGAAATAGTGGATTTCAAATCCTGGAGAAGATAATTCAGATGAAATGTGTATACTCTAGCTAGGAACATTTCTATTAGAGGTGATATATAAATAGACCTTATGTCCCTATAAAATATCAATATAATAATAGGTGTAAGATTGTTTCAACTTCTTTATCACCATGGATAAATGTGCTCCACTATGGGTATTTTATCTGTCTTGGAATAGTGCTGATGGAAAAACACTGACTTTAAAAAATACTAATCTCAACTTAGAGAAAGTGAGATTTTGTAGGTCATATGCTGCTTCCCATGTATCCTTACTTATTCATATTCTGTCATGTTGGGACAACCTGTTGACTTCCAATCAAAACTTTCAAATACTTTTCACATGGAATCCCCCTCCCAGGCAATTTAAATGTGTTAACCTGCTCTATGCCCTTCTACCCTTCAGTGAGCAATATGTTGAATCTCCAGTTGGTGAACTCCCATCTTCTGCCACAGTTAGCCATATTGACTAAAACTGCTGTGAGTTGGAATTCAACAATGTCCAGGGGATGACTTTAATATTCATCACTGTTATATGCTGTTCAGTTCACTCTGAGCCCACCTCAAAACTGGCAATATTTGGGCCCCCTGGCTTTTGAGGATTTTCCATCTTTATTCTCAGATGGGGAAGCATTTTCCCATTCAAGACTGACATACAATCTGAGGGTTGTCTTAAACTTAAAGAGTAGGTGGAGACTGTGGCCAGTAGGGCCTTTGGACAGAACCATCTGTTCTGGATTAGGAAGACTCTGAGACAATCACTGATATCCTAATCATCTTATAACTACACTACTGCAATGCACTCTACACAGGGCTGCCCTTGAAGTCCATGTGGAAGCTACAGCTGGTTCAGAACGGGCATGCTACAATGTGCCTACGTGATTCCAATACTCCACAAACTTAGTTAACAGTTGGTTTCTGAGTGCAATTCAAGGTACTGGTTACTTCCTAAAAAACCCTTCATGACATAGGGCCTGGCTAGAGAGACAGCCTATCTCCAATTATTTCTACGCATCTGGTAAGAATGAGGAGAATAAGTGCATATTGAGTCCCTTCAATTAAACAATGTCAGCTATTGGGACCTAGCAAGCATAACTTCTCTAGTTAGTGTCAGTCTGAAACAGCACCCCTGTTGAGACCCAAATGCCCTCCACCCTGATGATGTTCAGAAGATTTGCTGAAAACCTGTCTGTCCTCCAGGCCTTGACGGTAGGATTTGGTTAAGTTCTTGTAAGATATTTATATTTTATATATTCTAGAGAATTTGTCCTCTGGATTCTTACCGTTTATTTTCTTAGTTCTTTACTGTTAATCCCTTTTTAAGCATAAGCCACTGCACTGAGGCTATTGTACAAACACACACCAAAGGATACAGAACATCAAACTGCACTGATAATAGAAATAAATAATCCTTTACCTGTTTTAGACCAAGTGCCACTATAAAATATTGTGTTCTTCTTGAAAGCTCATGCCCATAGAGATGCTTATCTTCAAGTAATGTATTAACAATTTCCCAAGACGCTGGGCTGTTCTGCAGGATGCAAGATTTTTAGTATATGTATAATTGCAGGGCAGACTACAATTCAGAGATGTTACAACTTTACTGAATTCTAAATGCTTGGGCTATGAAAAGTGCTCAGAACTTCTCTTAAAATCCACTAATGGTAAAAACAAAACAGAATTGTAAACAGGCTATTTATAAACTCCCATGAAAACTGGAGCTCAATGGATACTCCAGTGTGATTAATTTGTGAACACATCAGGAAAGCTAATATTTAGTACTTCTCTAATGGAAGACCATGCAAGCCTCTGTGTCAGACACAGGTAAAGGAAGAAGTATATCTCCTCTCCACATAGACATATTGTTTCCAAGCTATCAAACTTCCCCTCTTTGTACAGTTGAAGATTCTATTTTTCTTGAAGGAGGAAGAGTTCCATATGGAGAAAGAAGCTTACTGTATGTACTTTTCCTCATAGAAAGCAAGCTTAATTTATTAATAAGATACTTACTATGGACAATTTTTTATATTAGTCAAAGCACAAACACCTACCAAATGACTGTGATTCACACTTATTTTGGTATATCTTTTACAAAGCCTACTGCAGTATTTTGTATTACTGAAAAGATCTGCTTTTGTGTATCATAGTTTTATGCAACTAGTGATGACTATTATGTTCTTTACACAATGGGTAAGCCATACTATGCTATTCACAGCTCACGTGGCAATTTAAATAGAGACTACAGACAAATGGAAGAAGGATCAGGCTGTCAATGGCTCCTTATCTTAATGGCTGTGCATTACCTCTCTAATCCCAAGTATAGCTGCTATAGAGCAGTAGTAGATCACAAATATTATCCTCCTTGTGAACTCTGAATGATTCTCGCTGGCATATGTGTCATGAAACACTGGATTTCTTAAGTCATAACCTGAGGCAACAAGATTATTATGATCTTATGTCAAAAGAGCAAATGCTATAATTATTTTAAATACATTTTCCTTAACTTTTAATTTCAAAAAAATCATATTTTTATTTGTCAAATTTATATATTATATATTTCTGATTCAACTATGACTATCTGCAAAACATGTAACTCTCCACTTCAGTAGCTATAAAACACCATCTGTTTAACGCCAGGGAAATCTTAGTGTCTGCCGCTGGTTGACAAAGCACCAAGACAGAGAGAAAAAGAATGCAGTCATTTAATGATATTGTTTTTACCATGGATTTTGTCATAAGTAAAATAAAGACTCAGGAACTCCCAAGGGTGCTTTTTCAAGAGGCAACTAGACTTTCTTGTTTTTCCTTGAAGACATTTCGCTTCTCATCCAAGACGCTTCTTCAGCTTCAGAACTGAAGAAGCTTCTTGGATAAGAAGCAAAATATCTTTAAAAAAAAACAAGAAGTCCAGTTGCCTCTTTGAAAAGCACTTTTGGGACAACCATGACCTGAATGACTGAGAATCTCCATAAAGACTAAGGAAAACTAAATTAAAGAGAAACGTAGACACAAAATCATATTAAACACAATTTAAACAATATATATATCATTACCAGTTTGTAGCATATTGCAAATGCAAGCAAGTAGGTGTCTTGGCTGAATCTGACATTTTCCCTGTCCATTTCTAATAGCACATTCAGGGCATCTGTGGAATATAATTTTAATTTTAAGCATTCCCTCAGTATTTGCAGATAATCACACATTCCAACTGCTAATTAATAATATTTGCAACTGAAATAAATTATTTATTAAAAAAAAACTTGGGGAATCAATTACGGTACACACCATTAGATTCTTTCAGGGTTCCTTGGTGTTCTCTGAGCTTAGTTGTTTTGTTCATTGCCAAAAGTAGGTATCACATGATCAGATGATGTTACCTATTTTCAGTAATGAAACATTAGCAACAAAACAACCAAGCTGAGAGAACACCAAGGACCCCTCATTTCAACCTGAGCTACAAATATTCTCCTCTATCAGTATTGGGCAAATATGTTCTTTTGAGACATATGAATGCCTGTCATACACACTCACACAAAAATTCTGCCATAGGAAGAGGTTGATTTATACAATGCTTTTCATGGTGGGTGGGGGCAGTCAAAAAATAACAATTTAGCAGGAGGCAAATTTGTGAAGTTCTTCCTATGGTTATCTTTTCCCCATCTCTGAATACACAAGTACATTGCTAGAGGAAGCATTGGGATATTTCTGCTTATCACTTTCCAAGAATGCCTATTGGATTCAAATGCATTCTTGCAAGCCAAGATCATATTGCAGGTTACTGCAATGCAATTAAAGTATGTATTAAAAATTACATTAGGTAGAGCAGGGACGTGATAGATGACAAGGAATGAAGCTATGAACAATGCAGCCCATGTTCTCCAAGCTGGGGATGCCAATTAGAAATGATTTTATACCTAAATTCTAAGATTACAATAGTTCAGTGGAAATCATATATCAGTGATGGCGAACCTTTTAGAGATCGAGTGCCCAAAAACTGCCCCGCCCCCTGGCCTGCCCCCACTCCACCCCACTCTGCTCCACCCCACACCACACACAGGGCCACCCACCACCTCCATGGCCCGCTGCAGATCACCCAGGCGGCCCTGCAGCGTCATGTTGGCCACGCCCTCCACCCGCGCCCCACAGCATCATCTGCATGCAATGGGGTACAAGGGTGGAGTTTTGTCCCTGCTGTCCAGCTGCCATGTGCTTGGCTGCGCTGCTCTGCGCAGGCTGTACCCAGGGGCGACTCTCCTCTGGGGGGGGCTGCTGGTGAGGAGGGAGCCATGGGGGGAGGCAGGACTGGGGCGATGGCATGCGTGCCCACAGAGAAGGCTCCGAGTGCCGCCTCTGGCACTCATGCCATAGGTTCGCCACCACTGTCATATATCATAATAGTAAAAACAATATACTATGTGATAGCAAAAAATTCGATGCATCATTGTTTTAAATTTACTATTTATACTATTTATAACTGATAACAATTGGAATAAAATTGCATGCTGTATTAGGCTTCAGCACTGATGTCCGGATACAATTTTCTTTGCAACTCTTGTATTATGAAGTGATTAGAAAGGGTGTTTTCGGCACCTGAGTCACAAAATTGCAAGTTAAAAATATTCCCAGAGAACCAGAGCATTACAAAATCCACAATAATTAAAAGGTATAATCTAAAATTTAAAACATTAAAAGTGATAGACATCTTGCAAAACCTCATGGCAAACATGTCTTGAGATTTGGGTTTCTTTTCAAAAAGAATTTTGATTCCATTTTGGAGGTCTGTAATATCTAGAAATAAGTGCTGTGGTAATTTCAGTTTTAAATGTCATAAAGCTGAAGTACTATACAAAGTTGTTTGGAATTAAGTCTTATTGTCTAGAAAACTCTTTCTTTCTAACAGATATTTACACAGAATGCCATGTGCCATGGCAAAAGAAATGTTGTGGTCAAACAAAATTTGGTCAAAATTTAAAATTTTCCAAGCTCCCAAAAGAAAAAGTAAAATTTTAAAAAACTCCAAAAAAGTACCATATTTTCATTTGGTGAAAGATTACATTCACTGAATGAAAACAAACATCTAATGACCACAGACTTAAGAGAACTACAATTATTTTTACACGAGGTGTTATAGCTCTGCAACATCGAAAAGTAATCATGTAAAATTTATTAGATCAAATTATTCAGTGGCAATTATATTATAGTGTGATTAATATTATCTTTCCTTTACCTTCATAATGGCCCTTTTCAAATAACATGTCCATTAATATATTGAATGATGTGTAATCTCCAAAGAAGCCATTTAGAGTCTGAAAAGGAAAAAAAGAATCAGTAAATATAACTGTATTGGCTGTCTTCAAAGGAAATCACTCTATTCATAATGCTTGAGAAAAACTTGTATAAAAATTCAGGGCTTTACATTTTAGGATCATCCTCTCAAGCTGCAAAGGTTTATTTAGGAGAGAGTCATCATTCTCAAAATACATTTATCACTATAGTACTTCTGAAAATAAATTATCAAAGGTTAAAGGGTGATTTATTAGAGGACTGTTTGAAAAATTCTTGGAAATGCACAGACCATGGAATGTCTTCCTTTGGATCTTAATCATGGACTAGAGGAGACTGTGCTCAAACCTTGGAGTAATCCCCAGTGAAACAAGACTTACTTCCAAGTGTAGAGTCCCATGTAACTGGCAAGACCAAGGAAATAAGAGTAAGTAGGATTTCAGGAAGGTATCTTTAATGCTAGTCCGAGATAAGTACAGAATCTTGAAAACTAAGAATTTCTCAGCCTTAGTTAGGGTGAATTAATTAATTTTCTTGAAATGCTTTTTCTTGTAGGTGGATGAGCTCCCAGCTGTGAGATGAACATTCATTCATCTTCTTCCCTGCCTTTCCGCTATCCCTCACCCCAAGTATAGCACAGGATAAACTCCAAAATTAGGTCAGCTACATTTGTATAGGATCCAATCTGGGTCAGTCCCCGGGATCAGAGGCTTTGCCTTCTGAGCTTTTGGACTCTTGCTGGAACCCATTTTTATAACTCGAGGTTCAAGATTCCAGATATTCCAGGAATTTAAATGGAACCCAAATGTTCCAAACTAAACCTGTGGGCCTTAAAAAGCTCCACTGATTTTAAGATGTTGCATAAGAAAAATAAATTGCCCTATGGGTTGAATTTCATGGTTAGAATGATAGAAAATAAAAACAATACAAACATAGACCTGAATTTCACCTGGTCTTTGATGAGTTCCAGTGCAACTGCTTCAAGGTCTAGTTCATAACATAACCTCATAAATATGGGTCCAAATCTGAACTCTCCAAAAGCTCTGTTACTGTTCTCTTTGTGATACCTGAGTAGAATACAGTTTTTGTTATGATGATGATTTAAGCTTAAAGATCAGACAGACACAATAGAGAATATTCATACCTCAATATGAATCTTCCACAAGATAGGAACCAAGATGCTGGGAAATGTTATAGTTACTTGTTTAGAGTTTCCAGAAAACCAATATCATTCAAATACCATTCAACTAAAAATAATGACAACCTACTTCCCATTCAACAAGAGAAGAGTTTATATAATAATCTCCCTAAAGTAGCTCTTTCTATCAAATGAATTTTGAATGATGGTAAAAGATTCTGTATTTTTTTTCCTTTTACTATGTTGTGGTTTGCATTATTTCCATAAGAATGAAATGTACAATATTTAGTCTTTGAAAAAGACAAAAAAAAATCAAATGTGAAATAATTAAGAATAGCCTCATTATAAAACTCCCTTATTGTAACATGACCAGAAATGAACCAAAGATAATACAAATGAATATACACATTACTAAATGATTCTTACCTGTATATGGTTCTTTTGACTAATTCTATTTCATTTTTGGATTGACATAGATAAAGTAGATTTATTAATTCGGTTTTGAGGATAAGGGTATCATTTGCTAATTTTTTTTCAACAGTTCTGAAAAACTCATCTGAAATTGAAAAAAAAGTAAATTGTTTATATTGTATTCAATTGTATTTACAATCAGCTATTAAGGTTACAATATTGCAAAATTGGTAGAATAAAATGAAGCTGACCTTTGCTTTTGTTTATACCTAGGATGATGTAACTTTCTAGTTTTGCTGGAACAGTCCCCTTTTGGGGAAGGTATCCTACAGATCAGACACATTCCTCAAACCAGGAAAATATTCTGGTTTCCAGAATTTGATCCAGTTCAGCAATAACAATAGCCAAAAGAGCCAGAAGCTCATGTCCGCCAGAGCAGGAAATTGCTCTGTACTTTGTTCCCTGAGCATAATGATGACGGCTACCAAACCTGGCTACCACATGCCTCTGGATGGAAACAAGGACTTTGAGTTTCTACTTCTGCCATTTAGTGATTTACCTGGATTTTTGCAACTTCTGAAGCACTTGGGGATAGAAATGAATACAGGCAGTCCTCATTTAGCAACTAACTGGGACAGGCAACTCCATCACTAAATCATAAAGTGATTAAGCAAGACATCAAGTGACCATGATTTGGAGTTTTACTGCTGGATTCCTCACTGACTTTGCTTGTTGGAACCCAGCAGAGAAGATCGTAAATAACAATCATGTAACCCAGGGATGGTCGTAAATGCACGCTGGTTTTTGCGAAGCATTCATATTTTGAACATGTGACAATGGAAATGTTGAGACAATCATTAAGTGCAAGAATCAGTTGTGAAATTACCTTTTCAACCCCATTGTAACTTCTAACTATTGTAAAACAGGGCAGTCTTTAAATATAAACCCATGGGCTTTAAAAAGAACTGCCTTTAAATATACAACTATATAAATTTAATGTGTGCTGTGGGAAATCTGATTAAGTGAATCACTGTAGTTGTTAAGTAAGTAGCAAGGTTGTTAACTGAATCTGGCTTCCCCACTGACTTTGCTTGTCAGAAAGTCATAAAAGGTGATCACATGATCCCAGGACACTGCAAAGGTCATAAATATGAGTCAGCTGCCAAGTTTCTGAATTATGATCACATGACCATGGGGATGCTGCAAAGGTCGTAAGTGTGAAAAATGATCATAAGTCACTTTTTTCAGTGATGCTGTAACTTTGAATGGTCACTAAATGTACTGTTCTAAGTTGAGGACTAACTGTAATGCTTTTCTGCTACTCATTAAAAAAATATATTTCTTTTTTCAGGTTTCCATGCAAACCCTGAAAGAGAAACAGATGCTTTAAGAATCACTTTAATGAATCACTTTTGTCTTCTGCAAAAGCTGCTTTAATATTTAACAGAGAGGTGTTCGCACAATATTTGAAGCATACTTTATGAATTACTTTTGAATAGTGCGTATCTTTAACACATACCTAATAAAAAAACTCCCAAAGTTTGTTGATTATTTGGATAGAGAGATGGGCAGCATATAAATTTAGTAATAAATAAATACATTTATTCTTAACAAGAAAATACAGGTAATCTCGACTTACGACCATAATTGAGCCCAAAATTTCTGTTGCTAAGCAAGACATTTGTTAAATGAATATTGTCCATTTTATAACCTTTCTTGCCACAGTTGTTAAGTGAATCAATGCAGTTTAGTAACATGGTTGTTAAGTGAATCTGGCTTCTCCATTGACTTTGCTTGTCTGAAGGTCACAAAAGGGGATCACATGATCCCAGGACACTGCAACTGTCATAAATATGAGTCAGTTGCAAAGCATCTGAATTTTGATCACATGACCATGGGGATGCTGCAACGGTCATAAGTATGAAAAAGAGTCATAAGTTACTTTTTTCAGGGTCACTGTAATTTTGAATGGTCACTAAATGAAATATTGTAAGTTGAGGACTACCTGTATAGCATTGCACTGCATATAAATACTATTTTCTGGGGGGAGGGAGGGAAGATGTTAGACGCTTAAAGAGACAGTATCTTAGCTATCATACTGTGTGGATTAGTGAAATCATAGTTCGTACATCACAGATACAAATTATGCTCCTCAATTTTAATTTGCAAATGATTAATTTGATGTAAATACCTTTTTGTCCATATATTTTATATTGATTTTCCAATTTCTTTTCTTGAAATTTATGTAACTGCAGAACATCTTCTGTTAATAAGTAACGTTTTGCTGAAAATGGAACAAGAAAATACAGTAGTGTTTTTATTTATCCTAAATTTTAATCTTAATCAAATAACCATATTTCCAACTAGAAAAATGACACAAGACCTCAGAGACATTTTCCTTTATGCAATTAATATTATTCTGATGTGTCATGATTATAAACATTGTACAGTAATACTTACATGTCTTCACTATGATCACTTCTATTATAACAATAAAATTCAATCAGGTTTTGCCAAATAAATGTGAATAATTTCAATTCCTCAAAAACAGTAAGTGTCAAATCTCAATCATATAAACTCATATTTCTGATTTCTTGATGCTCCCTGACAGCTTCCCACAAGGATCTCAATGGGGAAGCCGGCAGGAAGTCAGAAGTCACTCCCGCTCCCCTTGCTTTTTGCCTATCCATGGTCCTTCTGTTTATTTAGGTAAGAAAATATCTCTGAAAGGAAGACACAACAGGTCACAGGCTGTCTAATAACTACTGAAAACATAATTTCCTACCATTTTAAAGAACAAAATAGGCTTCGGTATGATACAACTGCTTCAGTAAGCTTAGTATATTTTTAAAAACAGAAACAAAATTCTTATCCATTTGTGACATGGTTTTATCAATTTCTCAGTATTGGTCTGCTAAGTATAGTCTTCGCTAAAAAAAAGTTAGGTATGACTCCTGGACCTTAAACACTGTCCACCCCATTATAATAATGGATCCAATTTAAATCTGAACTGGGTCAATATAATGTATGAATCCGTTTACACATTCCTTCCTTTATTCTTATTCACCCATTCCCATTCATACAGTACATACTTGCTAGTACTGTTAAAAATGTTTCTTGTATTGCTTGACCTTTTGACAACACATTATATAAATATAAAACATCTGGACCTTGTTTCTGTACCTTAAAAAGACTTCACTCCCCACCACCACCCCTTAATAAATGCTTTTTGCTTGCCTGAATTAAATAACAACAACAATAACAATAATATTTGGTGATTCCTATTTTCGGGTGAGCAAAGAACCCCTTTGCAAAGGTAAAAATGTCTCTCCCAAAATCGGGGATCAAATTCTTAGCAGCTCCACGTCAAACTCGGTGTCTGACTTTCGAAGCCACAATTTGGAGGCTCGCACCCCTCGGGGCTCGGATTGACTTGCTTCAGTCACAGAACACGCCTGCCGGCACAGGACGAGTTCACCCACGCGCCTTCAAGGGAGGCAACATTACTTTAGAATAGAATAGAATAGAATAGAGCTGGAAGGGACCTTGGAGGTCTTCTAGTCCAGCCCCCCGCTTAAGCAGGAGAATCTATACCATCTCAGACTTGTAAGATTTGCATGGATATACACTTTAAAACACAACTCTGGGCGGGCTCACAATAGTGGTTGTTATTGATGACTATACATTACAAATTCCAGAGGTGCAAAGCAACTTTTCCATTTATTCGATCACTCTTTAAAGAGAGACCTAGAATTTCCAACCCCCTTTCTTTTCCTAACACCAATTCCAATGTACCTCCTTGAAAGCAGTTCCAACAGCCAAATCTGTCCGCAACCAGCCCGCCAGCCGCGGGATATTCGACTGTCTTTCGCAGGAATCGACCCGAGCATCCAACCACCAGCGAAGCCATCTTACCGCCGGGACATACGAAGAACCGCTACAAGGAGAGAGGCGCTAAAGGACCGCCCAAGAAGTGTTGCCCTTCTTTCCCCTACACTCTATTGTCACATAGGCTTTCGCTTAGCTATGTAATCGTCAGCTATGCTGGCTCAGGAATTCTGGGAGTTGAAGTCCACAAGTCATAAAAAGGCCGTAGTTCCGCGTCTCTAGCACAGAGCCTTAAGCAGCTGGTCTGGACCGCAGCAGCAAAGGCGTTTCTTCCCCTTACTGCTCCTCCCACTTCGATCATAGATGCGGTACGCGCCAAAATGGCAGCGTTCATGTTTCAGCGTGGGTTACTGCAGAGCGGGACTACGATGAAAAATTGGGCGGCGACAGGTGGGTCGCTTCAGACGGGAGGAAGATGGGAGTCTTCCTCCGAGAATCTGTCCGTTTCTTACATTCTTAGTTCTGGAGGGTTGTTTTTTTTTCAGTTGTGGGTTTTACTGATTTTTTTTTGAATCAGTGACATGATAGCTAATGACGATTTTTATAGACCATTTATTTAGACTGACTAGTTCAGAAATGTTTATTCCTGCTAAGAATCTTTGCATAGAAAGATTTGCACGTCAGGATGTGTTCTTCTCTTTAATATCCACGTGGAATTGATGGGAATAAGACCACGGCCAGCTTAGCATTTTGATTTTCTCACGTGTTGTTGCCTAGCCTTCTTATTTCAATAGAATATATGTCACTCCCCATCAAAGTCAAATGTGTGTCAGATGACACGAAAATGTTAGATTAGTGTCAGTAAGAAGAAAGGCCCATGTCATGTTAATTTATCATTTGTTTTAATCACAGTTTGTTGAATATGTTGTTGTGGTCAGGTCCAAACATTGCTTTAAGACATGGTTTAGAAAACACAATGCTGCATTCACATATTAAGTTAAACTAAAATGTGGTTTTTTAAGAGCTTTAAATTATGAAAAAATATATTTTCTTTCAGGATATAAATCAAATGTTTCAGTCAATGATCTTTATTGTTGAATGTTAAAATGTAAAACAAGACTGCCAGAAAGTAAACAAGGTTTAAGATTGACTTTGGTGTCTTAACCTTTTGGGGACAGAAGAGCAGCTTATGCTATTCCTCCACTGATGTCATATATGTAGTGAAACTTGAAAAATAGGGTTATTGTTGTCGAGTCAATTACGTATACTTTTATTTTTAAATCTGGTTTCCTTTAAGCTTATCAATATAATATATATTGACCTATTTCATGTACACTGAAGAAACAGTGTAATTCTTTAGAATGTTCAGAAACTAGTTTTATTTTTTTCACAGAGAGAATATGATCTGGGGAAATTTTCACCAATTTGGATAAGAACATTGATTGCAAGCAGCTCAGTGGGCTGAATAGTTTTTAGTGCTCTCACAATAAAAGAGTTAGGAGTATACAGAGCATTGATCTATCTCCCTCAACATTCTCTACACCAGGGAATTCTGGGAGTTGAAGTCCACAGGTCTTAATATACCAAAGTTGAGAAATACTGCTCTACACCACAGGTAGAAACCCTTATCAGCAGGTGGCCGTATTTGAAAGATTGAGAGTGCGATATAAACTGTCACACAAAATGGCTGTTGTGAAGAATCTGGCCAGTTCAGGGGAAAAAACCCACCACAACCATATAACCTATAAAGTACATTCTGCTCCCTCTTTGTCATTGTAATCCATCATTTTAGTAATTTATTATTTTGGTTTCTAACAATGTGTGCCATTTATGGGCCCAAAGATTTTCTGGGAAATGATGCTACTGCAAGGTGGTGCCTTGTTTTACAGGCTGTTAGTTTCATTAGTATTGTTAATATCTGAACAAAAGTCAGATGCAGTAGGAGCTAGGTATACACGTAGTCCTTGACTTACGACCACAATTGAGCCCAAAATTTCTGTTTCTAAGTTGAGACATTTGTTAAGTGAGTTTTGCTCCTTTATTCCCACAGTTGCTAAGTGAATCACTGCAGTTCTTAAGTTAGCTACATAGCTGTTAAATGAATCTGAATTCCCCATTGACTTTGCTTGTCAGAAAGTCACAAAAGCTGATCAGAGGATTCTAGGAACTGCAGATGTCAAAAATAGGAGTTGCCAAGTATCTGAATGTTGATCTCGTGCAGCAGTCATAAGTATGAATAACAGTCATAAGTAACTTTTTTCAGTGCTGTTGTAACTTCGAATGGTCACTAAACAAATTGTGTACCTGTACATCAAAAGAAGGTAGTGCCCATTTCTGGTCTGCAGGTTTTAGACAGGGCTCTTTTGTGTGACAATGTCAGTGATGCAATTCTGCCCTGTTTAAAAGTAAAGCCTGTATTATTAACAAGGGCAAAGTTTCTTCACATCGTATAGAAAAGATTGCCTGGATATTGACAAACATTTTTGTTTCTCATTTTTCATAGAAGATTTCTTAATCTAGTATTTCTCAATATTGTATATGGATATTTTCCCAACAAAGATATTATATTATGCACTAATTTTACTTGATTTGGATCACCTATTGAATATTCTATCCTTCCGCTCACATTTTTGAGATTTGAGTTTATTTTAAATTTATGGGGTCTGACCTATAATTTATATAAACCTTATTATTACAGCTAGTTGGATGGTATGTTGGCTGTTTTTCCATTCAGGTTTGTGCTGGTAAAAAGTAACCCCCTCACATACATGTGAATTACATTCACTACCAAATGTATGGGCTGCAGCCCAATACATGTGAACTGCTTAAGTACAGGTAGTCCTCAACTTATAACCATTTGTTTAGTGACTATTCAAACGTACAATGGCACTGGAAAAGTAACTTACGACAATTTTTCACACTTAACAACTGTTGCAGCATTCCCATGGTCATGTGATTAAAATTCGGGCCGTTGGCAACTTACATGTATTACACTGTCCTGGGGTCATGTAATTACCGTTTGTAATCTTACCAGTAAGATTCATTCAACAACCACATGATTCACTTATCAACTGCAGTGATTCACTTAACTGTGGCAAAAAAAAGTAAAATGTGGCACAATTCACTTAACAATTACCTTGCTTAGCAATGAAAATTTTGGGCTCAATTGTGGTCATAAGTCGAGGACTACATGTAACCATTCACAGCAAGCTGAATTTACCCTGAGTGGCAACGAAGAGAGAAATCAGTCAGGTACTTTTGTGGCCCAATAAATCTGTTTATATTCACTGACCGTACTGTCAGAGATAGTATGATTAGCATGCCAACCTAGTAGAAAGGAATTCCAGAATGCCGTATTTTTTTTTTACTGTGTCTGCCTTTCTTTGTCTTCCCTTTGCAATGTAGTAGGCCAAGGTACATGTTAGGGTCCTGCCTTTGTTTAAGGCTGCCCCACAAACTAGCAGTGCTTTGCCAGGAGCTCAGTGTAAACTGCATTGTTTGCATGCCTAATCGAATTCTGTTATATTTTCAAAATGATTTGGTTGCTTTAGCTGAACCAAATTTTGGCTGCAAGAAGATCAATTTGTGGGATTTGTAGGGCCTTTTTATTATTTGTATTTAGTATTTAGTATTTTAGTATTTATGGAATTTCTTTCTCAACTTGTATTGGCACTGCACTCTTAACCTTCTCCTGTGTTGTGTTCATACTTGAACCACCTTAATACTGTAAATCATGATATTTATTGGATAAGATCTATTGGATTTTATAGAAGTATAATTTACGGTGAAGTTGTGAGATATTTTAAAGCTATAAATAGAGTTGACAGAGACTCTATCAGGGTTCCAATTTTTATAGAATCTGAATCACAAAGGATGATAAAAGTTAAATGATTCCTAAAATAATAATTGCTACCATAGCAACCTGATGCATTTAACATAATGAATATAATGCATACAAATAGGATGACTAATACATTTTTCAATGTGGAAATCTTCTAAAGACTTTCTTTGACCTCTTTTATTAGGTAAAAGGTGTATTCTTTCAGCAGCATACGTGGACAGTACAACATGGGAACAAAGAAAAAAGGAAGACCACAGCCTGGGTATGGAAATAAATGCTTTTTTTTTTAATTTTGGGCTTACAGGATCTAATGTAATGGTGAACTATGATCTAGACTTACTGTAAATTTGTTAGTATTCCAGATGCCGATTTCTCAAAGCAAGAGTGCCTGCTTGACTTTTTTTAATGCGGGGTGGTGGTGGTATAAATACTTGAGAAAGCATTGATGACAGTACAGTATGCAACAAATTTTAATAATATTCATTTAGGTCAGCAGTGTTTTAGTTGTGATAAAAACCAAAGAGATGTACATATGGGAGACAGGAATTCATGGCAGCTTCTTTCCCTTTTCTAAATAATATACATGTTGAATATTTTATGTTATCATGTCTTTTTGCATTTCTTTTTATCTGTGGTCCATATCTTTGGCTGTCTCTTTCAAGATTGGGGAAACATGCAACTTCCTGATACTGGGAATAGATTAATTGTTTTTCACAATACCGAGAGGACATTTATAGAAAGCAGTATTGTCTCTTCTAGGCAGCAGCAGTTTTCCATCATCCATCATCTCAACAGCTCCAGTTCTGGAGAGAGAGAGAGAGAGAGAGAGATGCTGCTTCTGTTTACAGTTCAGTAGTGTACAGGACTGTAGCTGTTTCATTAGAGGCTAACAAATTCATTGTAGCTGAACTTTCATAAAGTTCATAAATGTACCAAAATATAGTACTGAAAGCAAAATAGGCTGAAATATTAGGGGAAAAGCAGTCAAGTTAGGACATTCAATTGATTGAGGGTAGATAAATTAGCTTGCTAGATATCAGTTTGCAAACTACAGTTGTGCAGAGTCTTTTACTTGAACGCAAGATGGCACTGTGCCTTTGTGAGTGGTAGCATTTCTCAGTCAAGAGAATTACAATTTTTACAACAATGGCCAGTCAGACTAACTGTATAATGCAGGGACTAGCTCTCTGCAAGAAAAAAAAAATCATGTGTGAAAATCAAACAAGAAAGCTAAGTTATCAACAAAAACTAGTATGAAGGAGAAAA